AAGTCAAGTCCAGGCACCTTAAAAGAATGAGGGGAGGGGAGCACTTCATGGGTCTAAGTGGGCACCCTGCTCCCCACTAGTCCTACAGGCCAGACTCAAAGTCAGTGGGGACCACGGATTTATCCCTCCAATAAAAACTCCCAGTCATGCTTAGGTCACAGCAGCCTCTATTTGCCTTCCTTAGATGGTGTTTCCTCCTTGCTGGTTGCCGGGTGCCTTGCTCCAAGAAGATGGAGGCCCCTCCAGTCACCAGTTGCAGGAGTGGCTGGTGGCAGTGCCCTGCTTGCTACTGCTTGATTGTGCTGTCCCCACTGCTCCAAAGTATCTCTCTTCTTGTAGAATTTTCTACTACAAACTTCTCTCTGTCCCTGGGAATGTAATCCCTCCCCTTTTCTTCTGTTATCTTCCTGTGGTCAGAATCAGCATGTCTTCCCTATTCATCCACCTTGGACCTCTGACCAGAAACTTCCTATATGAAACAGGGTTGTTCTGAACACACAGACACCCTCCATGTGTCCTGTCTTCACTTTTTCTTCTCCTTTCCCAGGGCCTATACTTCTCTTGCAGCCAACCTGAAAGCTGAATTCTTGCTTTTCCTGTTCTCTAGTAGCCATTCTACATGAATCGTCCTCAAATATTATTTACATAAAATCACTTCCTTGCTTAATTTGAAACTCTATTTTTTATTTTTAATATAATCCTTTATTAGGAATAGCATTAACCATTGTCCTAAGCTTTTCATCCCCATTATCAAAAATTATGACCTTGTCTAAACAAGATAAGAGTCAGAGAACTCAGAGGGCTTCCATAGCCTTGGAAACTCATGACTGGAGCATAGGGAGATTACTGATGCCATAGACAGGAGTGTCAATTGGTAAAGTCAACAACAGGAGTCACTGTGCACTTACTCCTCATGTAGGATCTCTGTCCTTAATGTGCTGTGCATTGAGATTTAATGCTATAACGAGTACTCAAACAATATATTTCACTTTGTGTTTCTATGGGGGTGCAAACTGTTGAAATCCTTACTTAATGCATACTAAACTGATCCTCTGTAAAAAAAAAAAAAAAGAAATTATCAATTCCCAACTTGACTCTCACTGGGATTACACATGACAATAGGTCTGCTCTGATTTCATCATCATTTAAAAAAAATCATCTATTATTTTTCACTTTATGTTTCTGTCTGGGAGCAAACTGTTGAAATCCATACTTAATGTATACTAAGCTGATCTTCTGTATATTAAGATAATCGAAAATGAATCTTGATGTGAATGGAAGGGGAGAGGGAGTGGGAAAGGGGAGGGTTGTGGGTGGGAAGGACGGTATGGGGGGGAAGCCATTGTAATCCATAAGTCGTACTTTGGAAATTTATATTCATTAAATAAAAGTTTAAAAAAAAATTATTTGGACTGGTGTCATTGCTCAATTTTCCTCATAGCTTATGTCTTTCTTTCTTGAACTTACTTTTGTTTTGGTAACTTCAACCTTGAGTAATTCTCCATACAGAAGAATATCTGAAAGCAAATTTTTTTCTATTCTTGATTTATAATTTTGTTGAGTAGAGAATTGCTCCATTTTCTTTGAAAATTTATTGCTAATCTAGGTAATCTTACCCCTACTTGGGAAATTCACTTTATCATGAAGTTCCAAGTTTTCAATAGGATGTGTCAATGTGTCAATGGCTGGTTTATTTATTTATTTTTACTAATTCTGCTTGGTATTCAATGGGCCCTTCTGGAAATGAAGGCTAATTTTTTAAGTTTTTAGATTTATAAAATTTTTACTGATTATTTTACATTTTCCAAAATTAGATCTAGCTTTCATAAATCTTATTTTATTCTCTCTTACATTCCAAAATCTGGAAGACCTCTCAACTCATTCCTTCTCTGACTTGGAATTCAGTTGAGTCCATTCTGTTATCCTGCAACTAATTGGCTTTGCTTGTTGGTTTGTTCTCCTGACTCTCATCCTCACTCCGTACTTCAGCCAGAACGGGGAGAGAAAGGTCAAGCACTTTTGGTCAAGAGAAAGGTCAAGCCATTTGGATTTGCATCCTCAGTTTATGTTTTTTCTTTTACTTGAAGATGCTTTCTTTAGGATTCATACCCATAAGGGCTTGGCTAGAGATTGGTCTGGTAGAGTGTGACTATAGCTTATCCTCCTCTCTGAACTGCAGGATTCTTGGATCAAGCCTGCATATCTCCCACCTCTTCTACTAGCTGGCCTTCTGTATCTGTGGGTTCCATGCATTCCCTCTTAACCAATTCTAAGTAAAAACAGAGGACTCCCTCAGAGAATGGACCCATGGTTTAAAGAGAGACACTCTGTCAAGTTTAAATCACTCTTTTTGAACTGTAAGGCATTTTAAAATAATCTGATCACCTCTTCTTTAATTTGACTACATCACAATACTAGCACTCAGCTTTGGTCAGGCCAACCAGTTTCTTTATTGGCTAAGAACACACCATTTTCTTCCTGAACTTGATACCTACAGTCATATGTTCCATTCTTAGGAAAGTATCTTCTCTAATGATCAAAGGTTATATTTAAGTTCCAACTTTACTGGAAAAGTTTTCTCCACTTTTCCAGTCTTCTGTGAATGATATTCTTTGTTGAATGATTATGACACAATACCACATAGTTTATATATTATCTACTAATTGATTGTCTTTGTAGTACATGTACTTTCAGTATTCCATTATACCTCAGTATGCTTCAGTATTCTATTATAATCAAGAGCTTCCATTTATTAAGTTCCTACTATGTCCCAGATGCTCTGTTAAGCTTTTTAAATAAATGTGGACATGGTTAGGGTCAAGAACATCATTGACAGCCCAATACTGAGAGTCCAAAGGATAAATACATGGAATTAATCAAGTCACATATGCACAAATTAGCTAGTTGAAGGAACAAGAATAAAAATGACTGCTAATTGACTAGCTGATTGTGGGGAGCAACTGGGAGCAACTCGGACTAGACTAAGTTACTGGAATTAAGACTTATTCTATGCATCTGCTCTCCCACAATATGGCTCTGGGAGAGGAGGAAACAGCTTCTACGCAGCTGCCTCCAGTTCAACCAATAAACTGTAGGACCTGCTCCTGATTGGAGGAGAGCAGCGTACTCGGCGTGTGGGTAGCAGAGTTGGGATTGGTGGAAGAGGACTATAAAGGAGGAGAGAGACAACATGCACCAGGAACATCTATGAGGAACACCTGAGCAGCCCCCGAGAGAGCCGGCCGGCGGTGTGCGGCTCCCCCGCGGAAGTGGGGAAAGTGGCCAGGGGGAACCGCCCTTCCACGGAGGTGGAAGGGTCGGTAGCCAACCCGGGAAGAACCAGCAGCAAACCCGGGGAGGGCCGAGCAGACAAAAGAACAACGCAAGGTCCTGTGTCGTTCCTCCACGAAGACGGCGAGCGACAGCTGATATTATAGGGATGTTGATTAAAACTCTTTACTCCAGAACTATTTCTTTTATCAACTGGTAGATTCTTAAAATCTTCTCTAAAATTCTGGCCAAAATATAAATACCCTCCTTAGATGCTGACACACTGCTTTATTGAACTAGCACATTTCTTAGGTTAGGTCCTACGAAGCATCTAGAACACTCTAGTTATGGAAGAAAAGTACAGGGCAACTATAGGTAGGGAAAGTGAAAAAACTGGGAAGACTAGAAATAAAAAAAAAAAAAAACATTTTATTTTAGAAATTTCCCTCACATGAGCCTTAGAGAGGCAAATTAATCAATTCTAGCCACAAATATTCAAATAGACAAGATAATTAAAAGAATCACATTTCAGAAGTAATAACTGAAGTGCTTCTGGACTACCAAAAGACAATGATTTATCCTTAGTTTCAAAAGACATCTTAGAGTGGCTGTGCACACAACAAAGAAAACAGAGAGCCAAGTACATCTCACCTCCCTCGGACACAGAAGACAGCACAGCACTGTGCTTAAGAGCAGGGCTCTAGGCCGGCGCCACGGGTCACTAGGCTAATCCTCCGCCTGCGGCGCCGGCACCCCGGGTTCTAATCCCGGTTGGGGTGCCGGATTCTATCCCGGTTGCTCCTCTTCCAGTGCAGCTCTCTGCTGTGGCCCAGGAAAGCAGTAGAGGATGGCCCAAGTGCTTGGGCCCTGCACCTAAATGGGAGACCAGGAGAAAGCACCTGGCTCCTGGCTTCAGATCAGTGCAGTGCACCGGATGCAACGCGCAGGCCATAGCGGCCACCTGGGGGGTGAACCAACGGAAAAAGGAAGACTTTTCTCTCTGTCTCTCTCTTTCTCTCACTGTCTAACTCTGCCTGTCAAAAAAAAGAAAAAGAAAAAGAGAAAGAGAAAGGGAAAGAGAAAGGGAAAGAGAAAGAGAAAGAGAAAGAAAAAAAGAAAAAGAAAGAAAGAAGAGGAGGGCTCTGGGGCCTACATGCAATTCCCACCAGCCATGCACTACTATATAATCCATCTGTGTCTTTCTTTCCTTACAAATTTAGCATGGTAATCCTAGGAGTTAAGCCATGTAAAGTGTCTCACAGAAAGCTACCAGATGTCAGGTACTATAATTACTTCTATTTTTATTAGCTCACACAGAGAAAATTAAATGCATTCCATAAAGTCATAATGATAAAATAAGTAACTTAATAGATTTGTTTGTCTACTTGGATTTCACTTACAGGATAATTAAACTTAGCAGATATAATAATGGAGTTTGCTTAGAAAAATTCCAGTGATACTGGATGTTATACATACATATATATATGTGTATATATATATATATATATAATCATTTATAACAAATAAAGTAATACTAAGAAATTAGATAAAAATAAGGGGTAAACAGTATCAAGATGGCATCAGAATAAAATTAGTCCATGGTGCAGAATTCAAAGGGATATAAATTAAGTGATATTCACTTGAAAAGTTATTGAACACAACAACTGTCAATATGTTTTAAGTGGCTTTAGAGAACAAATTTACCATAATGAAGAAACTTGACAACTTACTTTGATGACATCTTCTGGCCATGCATTAAGAATTGAAGCAATATGACCTCGGTCATGGATACTGATAAAAAGACCTCTGACAGGAAAAAAAAAAGATTATTTTTAATTTCCTGCATACCTGACAAACTATCATGAACATTTAAAATATTTTTTAAAATGTATTGAATATATCTCCATTTTTATCAAACCAGTGAAAATTGCTTCCATAAATAAGTGGTAGGAATCAAATTACTTGAAACAACATATGGACATCCACCGTATAAGGGTGCTTCAAAAAGATAAGTATATTCTGGCACAAAGACCTTTTGAAATTCATACACATATTTTCCATGAATTTTTTAAACTTTTCTTATAAAGATAGCTTTATTATTTTATTAAATATTTTAATTCAAGAAATATTTACTATCTTATACACAGAGAACTTAAATGGCATTCTCAATTCAATTCATAGATGCATTTATAATCTTTCATTAAATAATATACATAAAAGCACTTTGAAAACAACATGTAACATACATAAACAGGCATTTCTGACACTGTTACAGAGTCCAGGAAAGAATATGCATTAGAGATTATGTTCTAAGTGCCTTATGTTGAACAATTCCTTCACACAGAACTTGATTCTTTGATTTGCAGCCTTCGTTCATGCTTGTAATTCTTTTTTAGTGTCAGACTCTCAACTGAAATCTTTAACATTATCTGCCGTACTCCCCCACTACCTAGTTAAACAAGTAACTAAAAATTATGGGACTAGTATTATGGTACAGTGAATTAAGACATTGCTTGAGATACCAGCAACCCATATCTGAGTGCTGGTTCAAGTCCTGGCTGCTCTGCTTCTGATCCAGCTTCTGCTAATGCAGCTGGGAAGGCCGCAGGTGACAACCCAAATGCTCGGGTTCCTATCACCATGCAGGAAACCAAGATGGGGTTCCTAGCTCAAGGCTTCATCCTGGCCAGCATGAACCACTGCAGCCATTTGGAGGGTGAACCAGCAGACTGTAGGATCTATTTCTGTCTCTCACTATCAATTGGCTTTCAAATGAATTAATAAATATTTAATTAATTAATTAATTAATTAATTTTGACAGGCAGAGTGGATAGTGAGAGAGAGAGACAGAGAGAAAGGTCTTCCTTTGCCGTTGGTTCACCCTCCAATGGCCGCCGCGGCCGGCGCGCTGCGCTGATCCGATGGCAGGAGCCAGGTACTTATCCTGGTCTCCCATGGGGTGCAGGGCCCAAGCACTTGGACCATCCTCCACTGCCTTCCCGGGCCACAGCAGAGAGCTAGACTGGAAGAGGAGCAACTGAGACAGAATCCAGCGCCCCGACCGGGACTAGAACCCGGGATGCCGGCGCCGCAGGCAGAGGATTAGCCTAGTGAGCTGCGCTGCCGGCTCATAAGCAGTTCTTGCCTATCATCTTTCCAGGGTTCCTGGAGACATTTCTGCATTCTAGCAGGGCAGCGTGAGCCCCATGGATCCACCTGGGACCAACAGGGCAGCAGCAGCCCCAGAACCCAGGCCCACCCAGCACTCTGTGCAGTGACAGACGATGGGAGCAAGGCAGCTGGGGCACCCCCAGTACTCTGGAAATAAGGAGGCCTGCCCAGGTGGAACTAAGTGTCCTCTTTTCTACTGCCCCCCCCCCCCCACAACTTCAAAAATCACAGGTTTCTGCTGGGTTCCCATGCAGAGACTCAGAGCTCCTCGTACACTGAGGACAGATCTCACAGTAAGGTCCAGGGACACATTACAGAGTGAGTTGCTGCTCTGGTCAGCGTGCACAACTGGGTGGGGTAAAGTGGGCTGGCACTATAGGTTCACTCTAAGCTTTGAACAGCTAGTTCACCCTGGCTAGAGAAAAGCTGGGACTTCAAACATCACATCTCCCCACTGACTGTAGCCAGAAGTGCTCCACCAAGCCCAATCTTGGGTGTCACTCTGAACTTTTGCCCCAAATACAAATGGTGGCCTCAGCTCCCTGGCCCCAACAAGCACATACCCCTGGAGCTCAAGTGTAAGCCTTCAGTGCTCCACCAAGCCCCAGAAACATATCTCCAGAAATACAGCCTTCAACCAAAAAATATTTTAAAAAACTACCGTCCAGAAGTGATAGAAACAACAGATACAACATTTATCATGGAAACACAAAAAACATGAACAATGAAGGCAATATGATTCCCCAAAAGGAACACAATAATTTTTTTTTATTTTTATTTTTTTATTTTTTGACAGGCAGAGTGGACAGTGAGAGAGAGAGAGACAGAGAAAAAGGTCTTTCTTTTGCCGTTGGTTCACCCTCCAATGGCTGCCGCGGCCGGCGCACCGCGCTGATCCGATGGCAGGAGCCAGGTACTTATCCTGGTCTCCCATGGGGTGCAGGGCCCAAGGACTTGGGTCATCCTCCACTGCCTTCCCAGGCCACAGCAGAGAGCTGGCCTGGAAGAGGGGCAACCGGGACAGAATCCGGTGCCCCGACCGGGACTAGAACCCGGTGTGCTGGCGCCGCAAGGCGAAGGATTAGCCTAGTGAGCCGCAGCGCCGGCCCACAATAATATGTTAGTATTGAACTGTGAAGACAAGGAGATTGACAAAATAGCAGAAAAATTTTCAGAAGAATTATTGTAAGGTTACTAAAAAATACAGAAATACAGTTAGTTGAAATAAGGAAATCAGTATATGACATAGATGATCGATTTAGCAAAGAGACAGAGATACTGAAAAGAACCAAATATCAGAAATGAAGTATTTAATAAATCAAATTAAAAACACAGTTGAAAGCATTAACAACAAACTTGATGAAACAGAAGAAAGAATATCTAATCTAGAAGATAGGCCTTTGAAATACCTCAAGACAAAAAAAAAAGAATAAAAAATTAGAAAGGATGGAAACACTGTTCAGGATCCACAGTATACCATCAAATGATCAAATGTAAGTGTGAGGAGTTCCTAAAGAAATGGAAAAAAAAAGAATGGCTTAGAAAACCTATTCAATGAAATAACAGCAGAAAATTTCTCCAATTTGGAGAAAGACATGGACATCCAAATTCAGAAAGCACACAGAACCCCCAATAGACATGATCAGAAAAGATTTTCACCATGACACATTATAGCCAAACTTTCAAAAGTAAAATAGAGAATATCCTATAATTTGCAAGAGAGAACACCAGGTTACATATTAAAGGAACTCCCATTAGATTGAGAACTGATTTCCCAATAGAAACCCTATGATTAAGGAGAGAATGGATAGATACAGTCTAAGTTCTAAAAGGACTACCAGCATGGCAGTGTAGAGGGTTAGGCTGCCACATGTGACGCTGGCATCACATATGGGAAACTGGTTTGTGTTTTGGCTGCTCCACTTCTGATCCAGTTCCCTGCTAATGCACCTGGGAAAGCAGTGGAAGATGGTCCAACCGCATAGGCTCCTTCACTCATGTGGGAGACCCAGATGGAATTCTAGGCTCCTGGCTTCAGTCTGGCCCAGCCCTGACCATGGCAGCCATTTGGAGAATGAACCCACAGAAGGAAGATGTCTCTGTCTCTTTCTCTCTATATAACTCTGCTTTTCAAATGAATAAATAAATATTTTTTTAAAAAGAACAAAACCATCAACCCAGAATACTTAATCCAGCAAAGCTCTCATTCATATATGAAAGTGAAATACAGATCTTCCAAGACAAGCGAAAATTGAAAGAATTTGTCACCACCCAGCCAGTCTTACAAATGAAACTTAAGGACTTACTATATACAGAAACAGAGAAAGACAATCAGAATCATGAAAGTATATGAAGACAGTAAATTTCTTAGTGAAAGAACTAAAGAGATTGAAAACTGCCAAGACAAGGACTGTTCAAGGTCATTGCTTCTCAAAGTGTCAATTTCACTTCTGCCAAATGCCTTTTAGGTGCTCTATTAGTTATCATAGGTCAGGGAGAACATATGGCATCTATCCCTTTGGGACTGGCTTATTTCACGAAGTATAATGTTTTCCAGTTTCATCCATTTTGTTGCAAATTTCCAGATTTTTTTTACTGTTGTGTAGTATTCCATGGTGTACATATCCCATAATTTCTTCATCCAGTCTTCAGTTGATGGGCATTTGGATTAATTCCATATCTTAGCTATTGTGAATTGAGCTACAATAAACATGTGGGTACAGATAACACTTTCATATGCTGATTCCATTTCCCTTGGTTAAATTCCCAGGTATGAGATGGCTAGACCATATGGTAGGTCTATATTCAGATTTCTGAGGTATCTTTATATTGTCTTCCATAGTGGCTTTACCAGTTTACATTCTCACCAGTGTATTAGGGTACCTTTCCCCCTACATCCTCACCAGTATTTGTTTGTTGATTTCTGTATAAAAGCCACTCTAATGGGGGTGAGGTGAAACATTGTAGTTTTGATTTGCATTTCCCTGATGGCTAGTGATCCTGAGCATTTTTTCCTATGTCTTCTGGCCATTTCCTCTTTTTCATGTGTCTGTTGGATTTCTTATTTTGAAAAATGTCTTTTTAAGTCCTTTGCCCATTTCTCCACTGGGTTGTTTTGTTGTTGTGGAGATTCTTGATCTCTTTATATATTCTGGTTATTAATCCTTTATCAGTTGTATAGTTTGCAAATAATTTCTCCCATTCTGTCAGTTGCCTCTTCACTTTGCTGAGCATTTCTTTTGCAGTGCAGAAGCTTCTCAATTTGATGTAATCCCATTTGTCAATTTGGGCTTTGACTGCCAGTGCCTCTGGGGTCTTTTCCAAGAACTCTGCCTGTGTCAATGTCTTTCAGGGTTTCCCAACATTCTCTAATAATTTGATGGTATCAGGTCATAGATTTAGCATTTTGATTCATTTTGTGTGGATTTTTGTGTAAGGTGTAAGGTAGGAATCTTGCTTTATACTTTGTATATGGAGATCCAGTTTTCCCAACACCATTTGTTAAAGAGATTATCTCTGCTCCAGGGACTGATTTTAGCTCCTTTGTTAAAGATAAGTTGGTTGTAGATGCATGGATTGATTTCTGCAGTTTCTCTTCTGTTCAGTTGGTCTACACATCTTTTTTTTTATGCCAG